AGTAATTCATTTATTTGTATTTGTTAATCAATAATATAAAACGTTTATAAATAATAGTTCGAAAGGAACTTCGTTCTAACCGAGTGTTCCTCGACACTCACGCATGTTTTTTAATATTGTATATAAATAAACAAAATTATTAGTAATATATATCAAGTTACATATTATATTCTTGTTTATGTACACTAGTAAATCTCGGGACAAGCTTTTATATCATAGTTATAAAAAATAAAAGTTAAGTCCAATTAATAGGACCCTTTACGAAAGTCATCATAGTTATGTCAAAAATACTGGGTGCGTTTCTCTACTGAACGAATACTTCCTTATTTCCAAAAGTTTAGTACGCAAGTTTTTAATAATTTAAAATTAGGCAAAGACATTTAAGTAGTAGTAGTAAATACTATATATTTAAAACTCTTTGAAATTAGGTTACTTGATAGTTGCGAAAGTAAATGTACAACTATAATGATTTTTGTGAACTTAAGAACTGTATCCAAAAATGATAACTAAATAATCTGATTTCTTTCCACATTTTGTATTAAGATTTATTTCCTTACTAATATAGAAATAGATTTTACTCACCGAGAGGGTTAAAGCGCATATCATAAGCGATGTAGCCTCGGTTTGGATATAATTACTAACCCTTGACATTGATTAAAACACACTGGAAGAACAACATAATGAATAATGATGATAAGTCTAATATTATATAATATATAAGTATAATAATAATAATATATTTAAGTTTTTTCGTGATTCCCATTCGTGTAACTTGAGATCAGCAGAGAGCTTGAAGTTGAATTTGCCACTATACACTAGAAAATTTATGAACAAGTATTTTAGTACAGGCCGTTCATTTATGGAATGAACTCCCATTGTCAGTAAAACGCGCACCATCCCTACCGGTATTTAAAAAACTAGTTAAGAATCATTACCTCGCACTTCAAATTATAACTTCACTTCCACACTAGCCATTAAATATAATATTATTATTTAATTAATTAAATAATTCAATTTATATGTATTTTATTTTTTTGTATGTATATATGTTTCTAGTATGTGTATGTATGTATGTATTATATATACATATACATATACATATATATATATATATATATATATATATGTATATATATGTATATGTATATATATATATATATATATATGTTTATTATTTTTAGCTCTCTTTTCTCTATCACACCAATTTGCCCTGCCCGAGGAATTTGGAAAATGATATATTTGTACAACGATACTGCACTCGGTGTACCAGCAGCATAATTTCAACACTGAGCGGAAGACTTATTGATTTTTATTCCATTATAAAATTAAGTTTCTTCTTCTTCAGCTTTAAGACCTTAAGAGAAATCTCTTCTTACTAGGTTGTGGGACTCCTTTTCTAACACGGAGCCCACCTGGTAGGTGCTGCTCTCGTACCTCTGTCAATAGCAGTGGCTGTACCGCTGTGTTCCACTCTGAAGGGTGTAGAGCCAGTGTAATCAGGGCTAATAATATTTCGATCACCAGATGTCGCTAGCTGACACTGAAGTAAAGTTTTTTGTTGCACAATATCATTTAATTGAGTTGTTAGTTTTTTAATAAAAGTTTATCAGTTTCTAGACGATTATATTAACACACAAAACAATGCGTCAGTGGTTTGTTCTTTAATTTTTTTTTCACATTTTTAACTTTTTTTTTAAATTTTTCTACTTTTATGAATAACTGTGATTTTGTTTATATATTTTTAATCTTCATAATATAAAATATAGCTAACAGTACAGAAAGAAACATTAAATTAGACATTATTCGAACAAATTAACTTCCCCGCTATGAAATCTGTCAAATATTATACCTCAAAGTGGCGCCGCCCTGGTGGCAGAAAAGGTCGTGGATGCCTTCATTACAGGCTGTCAAGCATTCCATCTCAGTCCTGGGAGGTGAAGGCGCATTTGTAAGGCTTTTTTGTTTGCAGTTGGCTGCAGTTGTCCATTGCCTGCAGTAGTAGTACATTAGGTGGTATGTCAATTCGTTTGCCACTTAATGTTTATAAAAAGAAGTGTACTGCCAGGAAGTCTTTCTTATTCGTGTATTAGTAACTAGCTGTTCTCCGCGACTTCGCCCGCGTGTCATTTAGGGTTTTATTTTTTTGCGCGGAACGGAAAGTAGCCTAAGTTACTCTTTATAACACCAGCTATTTGCCAGTGAGTCCCATAAAAATCGGTCCAGCCATTTCGGAGATTAGCCCAAACAAACAGACAGACAGACAAAAATTTTAAAAATTGTGTTTTTGTTATAAGTATACTTTAGTATTTAGCGTAGTTTTTTTAGTGATAAATTGTTATTTTGACATTAGAAATAGACACTTCAATTTTATTAATTTGCCAGTCAGTGGAACTTGAATCTGACCTTCTTTGGATGGATTAATTTTAGTTTAATATTTTGTTTTTAGTTGTTCAGCTTGGTTTTGATGACAATTTGCGTGATCAATATGCGCGACCGCAAGGCCCACCCAGAACAACAGTCGACGCTGTCACGTGGAGTGCTCTCATTTCTTCTGACTTTAAGCTTGGGTTTGGTGTTGTCTTCGATTTTGGGATGCATCGGCTGAGAGAAAATGTAAAAATACTTTATGTGGTAAGTTTATCGCCAAATTTTGTTTTAGTAGTAGTTAGTTTACTAATAACTATTAGTTTTTATTTATTTTATTTATGTTATTATTTACTTACTTACTTACTTATCTTCACGCACAATCCCTGACGGAGAGAACAGATCGCCAAGTGTCACGATTCTTACATACCTCTTTCGCTTCTTTCAGATTAATTATCTTCTTCATACATGCACGTCCAGGTATCCGAGTACTCTTGACCCTTCCCTCTTCGAGCAATTTGCTCACATGATCTTCGAAAGTTAGTCTTGGTCTACCTCGATACCGTTTAATATTTACTTTAGCGCTATATATTTTCTTCTCCATTCGGACTTCACTCATTCGCTCAATGTGCCCAAACCATCGAAGCACGCCCTTATAAATTTTTATGATAAGGTCATCTTTCAAACCTGCCATATTGCGAATCTCTTCGTTTCGCTTTCGGTCGGCCATGGTAACGCCGCACATTTTACGAAGAGATCGCATCTCCACTGCATTCAACTTACTTTTATGCTTCTTCTGGCATACCCAGGTTTCGCTGCCATATAACAAAGTCGGTACCAACACTGCGTTATGTATTGCAAGGCGTGCACTCTTCACTACGCCTTGCCTTTTGACTAACGCAGTCAGGGCACCATTGACTTTGTTCCCGGGAGCGAGACGCCTGTCCACATCTAAATCACATCTTCCATCCCGGCTGAAAGCACTCCCCAAGTATACAATTTCATTTACCTGTTCTAGACATTCCTGATTTACCCATATTTCACACTTCGTTCTCTCTTCGTCCCTTTCAAAAATACCAGAAACTTAGTTTTATTAGCATTCAAACGGAGACCTTTAATTTCACATTCCTCTTTCATACACGTGATTAATGCCTGCAGTTCTGCCTCTGAAGGTGCAATAAGCACTGCATCATCAGCATACAGCAGACAATTTACTTTAAGCTTCTGTAAACAGCTGTCGAGATACAGTATGAACAGCCAGGAAGACATGACACAACCTTGTTTTACGCCCGTTTGGACGCTAAACATGGGTGACAGGTCATGCCCTACCCGCACACAGGCTTTACAGTCACAGTAAAGTGACTGCACAGCCCTTAGCAATCTACCATCCATACCATATCCCGGCAACAGTTCCCACATTTTCTTCCTTACAATATTATCAAATGCTTTCTCAAGATCCACAAAAGCACAGAAAATCTTCTGGTTAGCATACCTAGTTAGGTTAGCATACTTAGGTTAGCATAACTATTATATATTATTAGTTATAAGTAATTTACTTATTTAAGTTGTTTTATATGTTTACAAACAAATCAAGGTTATTAAGGTAACTTGTGGATAGGAAGTTGGGTCTACCCAAATAATTTAAAATTAAAAATTTTGTACAACCGACTTCAATATACATTTTAAAGAATAACTTAAAAACTATTAGTCAGACCTTGATCAAATTTATATGGGACCACATGAGAAGCACCAGCCTTTATATAAAAAAGAATCATCGAATTCGGTTCATCCAGACAAAAGTTAATTATAATGTAACACACATAAAAAAAATATACAATCCAATTGAGTACCGTCTCCTTTTTGAAGTCGGTAGACAAAGTATAGTTTGTATCAATTAAATTAAGCTTTTAATAAAAAGTAACCGGCTTTAAAGAACTAAGAAGAATGTGTTGCTAAGTCATGTAGTGGAGATTATTTTATTGTTTTTATCTACCGACTTCAAACTCAATTCGACTGTACGTTTTCTTTTTATATGTATTATCTTATAACTTCTTTCTGGGTGAACCGATTTCGATGATTCTTCTTTTATTTGAAAGCTGGTGCTTCACATGTGTTCCCATATAAATTTGATCAAGTTCTGTCTAATTATTTCGGAGTAATTCTTAAAAAAAAAATTAAAATTATTTTTTCTTCTAATTTAAATGGGACCTAATCTTATGTACTCGTATGTATCCCTTTTTGAACTTAGTTATAAACAAAGAAATATACCTAGAGAATGACTTGTATATATATATATATTACGGCTAAAACCCGAAGTGCGGAAACACTTATGTTTCGCCGGCTACAACTATTTAGTTACAGTTAAAAGACAAAGTACAGACACACCGAGACTTAGTCGACTACACTATTTACGTTTTACCAACCGCAATCATCTGCACCTAATTGTAACCGGCTAAAGCTAGGTGTAACCGTACCTAGGCTTTTAGCCGTGACATATAGAAACATAATATGTCATATGTAGATGTTAATGTGTGGCGTGTAGAGCAAAACACCAGCTGGAGACGGTTTGAACTGAACAAAACATTGTGAAATTTAAGATTAATTACGTATACTATGACACAAACGATTAAATATTAATGATTACCTTTGTCCAGTTCGCCAGCTTTTTCATATTCCTGGTGTCGGTGGAAACGGTGGCGACGGTGGGTAGTGCGGTACTCAACACGTGGGTAGGAGGGGGCAGTGAGCTTCGCGTCCATTTCTACAAGAACTCAACCGTTGAAGATGAGGGTGGTCATGCATTCTGGGATAGTTTACAATCTGAGGTACGTAAGAGTACATGCACCAGTTGTATTGTATATTAATGGGGAAATAATTTTTAAAATTTGACAATACAAACACTTCTATAGAAATTGTATGGGAATGTAATAAGACCAAAGATTCACCAGACCAAATATTTAGTCACGGCGGCCAATCCCAACGGAGACTAGTTCTGCCCACGACAGGATATTTGAGCCCGCGTGTATGCGCAAGCATTGGTAACACTCTTTATTCCCTCACGCTTATAGTTCGATGGTTTACGAAATCCGTCGAATGTGATGTGGTGACATTTTTTTATAGGATAAGGGTGACAAACGAGCACACAGTCCACCTGATGGTAAGTGGTTGCTGCGCCCCATAGACATCTACATCTATCCTCATCTATTACAAATCAAAATGCAGATGCGTTGTCCGCCGTAAGGACTAAGATGGAATGTCTCAATTCCAGTAAAAAGGGTCTCCGGTTCTCTATATTCAGTATTAGTCCTCACGGGTGACAACGCATCTGCATTTTCATTCGCAAACGAGGATAAATGTAGATGTCTATGGGCCGCAACCACTTACCATCAGGTGGACTGAGTGCTCGTTTGTCACTCTATCTTATAAAAAAAATCCAATATACACAAAGTTAAGTAGTAACCATATACAACTATTGTTACGAATTCTAATTCAATTCATTACAGAAGTATGTCTAAGATATTCTATGTATTTAACCTAAGAACTTCTTTCAGAACCAGTGCTGCGGCGTAGACGGTCCCCAGGACTACGCTATTGTCCATCGCGAGATCCCATCCTCGTGCTGTGCCCGAGCACACCCGCTTAGAGAAGGTGGAGCTAGGAGGCACCTTCATGCGTCTTGTCTCTCTGAAAAATCATACTATATGACAGGTTGCGAGGAGACTCTTCGTCAGAAAAAATCATTTAAAGGAAAGATATTTATAACTACTGGAGTTGTTTTCGTGTTGCTTGAGGTAAGTTAAATTATCACTTACGAACCCTGACCCCGTACATCAGTTGTGGTAGTGATAGTATTCAAAAGACAGCTCCTTGGCGCAGTGGCTTAGCAGTAAGTTGAGGGCCGTGGGTTGGAATCCCGTACAGGACAAGTGTTTATATGGCCTACCAATAATTGTTCTAGCCTGGATTTTTGTCCTTGTGACATTTTTTATGTAAGCTGCCTCCATGATATAGGAGAAAATGTTATTGTTGGGGCAACGATTTAAAAAAAAAGAGGTAGAAAAAAGCGGTTGATTGGTAGAGATATTTTTTTTTAGAATTAGTGTGACAAACGAGCACATAGTGCACCTGATGGTAGGTGGTTGCTGTGGCCCATAGACATCTACATCTATCTTCGTTTGCGAATTAAAATGCAGATGCGTTGTGACTAAGATGAACCGTGAGGACTAAGATGAAATGCCGAAATCCAGTAAAAAGGGTCTAATGCCATAGGGCCGCGATAAGTCCGCCCTTTTTAACCCCTAGTTGAAGGCGTTTGCAAAAAACAATTGCATAAAGCAGCCTTTTTACGCAATTTCATGAATGCACATTATAATTAAAAATCGATAAAAATTCCGAGCTGTGTTGTGACTACATATACGTTTAGTTTTTATTTTACGTTTTATTTTATACGTTTTTGGTGTAAAATATGTCATTTATCGCCACTGGTAAGTTGAACGTCGCCCTCAACTTCATAGTATGCGAGCAATTCCAGTTCAGTACCCGTTAGTACCGATGAAAGTGTTAATTGCAATAAGTGCCGGTTCATCACGTGCTCGGCTGTAAAGGAAAACATAAAGATTCCTGCATAAATATGAAATAATTTTTTTTAAGAATGTGGCATTTACTTTTTAGCTTATAGTGCGAATTCAGGTTAGTTTACTTCGATCCGCACGCAAAATTAAAATTGTGTTTATCTAGTTCATAATTCTTATATTATATTCAAGAAGTATAAATGATATGATATGATGAAGTATAAATGTAATAATACTTATTATATACAATATTGAAAACTATAATATAAAAAAAAGACTAAAACTAGTAAGTTAATAGTCAGTCCTACTCCCCGCGGTATCGTGCCAAGAACGATGGCTGTGATTCCCCACTGAATGGCTATAGCTTAGCCTTTGGCGAGAAAAGAACCAGCCCTCTTATCACCAGCAGCAAAGACCAGCCGCGGATGGAGTACCTTTAGGAACTTATATTAAAAGGAACTTATATTATATTAAAAATAAATCTATTACCTATCCTGATTTTACGTTACATATTTTAACATTAAATATTCACATTGCAGATCATGTGCATAATCCTAGCTATTTGGATGGCTAGAACGATAAGGTCTGAGCGTCGAAGATTGCAGCAAAACTTACAAGCTCACTTCGAAACCTAAACATACTGGATGCTATATTGCTATACAAAAGTTAATTTACGCTATAAGTGACATTAAATGCTTTCGCTATACTAACATATTAATCGAGCTCATTGACATATTCCGGCATTTGGTGTTAATATTTGAACTATTTAATTGTCCGTTTTCAAGTGTGAGGGTGTAAGAAAATCCGTCCCGTAGGGTGTAAGGGACGTTAATAGGGTAGGATATCATAACTGCTATGATTTCCGATAGATGTCAGCATAACTAATTCACTTATCAGATGTAAAAGAATATGGCAAAGTCCTCGAAAAGAGGTAACCTACGGTGGACCTATGGTGACTATGTTTTGCAACTGCCTGAACAGGGGAGCAGAGTCTAAGAACGTAAGAGTACCGCGATGTGTACTTAAGACGTAGTTAAGACAATTCTCCTTACAACGGGAGAGTTTCATGTTCAGTATCGGACTTTTACGTCCGATGAAGAAAAAGAAGATCTAACATTTTATGTTGTAGCTGTAATATTTTTATAGAAATAATTACGCTTTGATACACTCACCTGCTATCATATTTTGGTATCTTAAGTGTTTTACTATACATATATATTTACCAACTACCAAAAACACATATTCTAAAAAATATCTGGTAACCCTAAACTATTAGTTGTAATATTTTGGGGTAATGAGCGATAAAAGGAAATTAAACAGGAGATGGGCAGAGATATGATCGGCTTGACTCACTGGCACTGCGAACAGATGTTGCATCTCTATGCGTATTTTATCGCATCTACCACGGGGAGTGCTCTGCGGAATTGTTCGGAATAATTCCAGCCGTTCAATTTCACCATCACTGTGCGATTTACAAGAGGTTTTCTTCCTCGCACAACGTTCTTGTGGAATCGACTACCACCAGCGATTTTTCCGGACCGATACGACTTAGGACCCTTCAAGAAAAGAGCCTACTCCTTTTTAAAAGGCCGGCAACGCATCTGCAATTCCCTTAGTATTACAGGTTAAAATAGAATACAGGTTAAAATAGAATATAATACAAATTATGTGTACTTACAACTACATATAAGTTCAGTAAACTTTGTATTAAAGTTAAAAAAAAATCGCATCTCATCTAAATACGAGTAGCTTTACAACCACAAATTAAAATTACTTAAATGTACTTATTAGGTTTAAATAGGATATAACTTAAATTATGTTAACTTTGTATTTAAGTAAGAACCTAAGCGCTTGCCGCAAAATCACAGTACGCGAGCAACCCGAGTTCGATCCCTGTCGGCACAAATAAATTTGTTATTTGCAATTTTAAGTGCTTATTACTAAGTACTCGGTGGTGAAGGAAATAGCGTAAGGGGACCTACATGTATGAGAAATAAACAAAATGGAAGACATGTGAAATCCGCTGATACGCGGGTAGCGCAGATAAGTGGAAGAATGAAAGGAGGCCTGTGCTTGTGGGATTTTTAAAGGCTGTAACTTTAAAATAATCTATTATTATTTAAAAACTGTGTATGATTTTTTATTTATGTTTACTTAAATGTTGGCTTAAATAAATAATAATAAATATGCGAATGCTCTAAAAAATTAGCTGTTATCTGTGATAATCTGTAGTTTAAATAATATTTGTGTAACTGTCTCGATCACAAATACACTTAATAATATAGTATTAAAAAGCTTTAAGTATGCAAAATTACACATGTTAAGTATGAAGATTTGAAAGCTCTATTGTTATGTACTTTTAACTTTTTTATTCATCTATGTATGATCCATATAGTATATACATTTCAAACAATTTTCTACTAGCGTCTCACCCCGCATGAATGTGATTTATAAATGTTTTCTTTATTTTGATCACAAAAATGCTTCAGATACAATATATTTTTGGTGCAGCTATATTAATTGTATAGTTGTAGCACGAAAGTTAAAATATTTATTTAAAAAAAACCAACTACGTAAAAATTGAAGTATATTAAAATCCATCAGTCAAAATAACAGTTTATCTATACCAACTTCGAACCAAGAAGCATAGGGGCTTTCAATGGAGTAGCGTGCCTTAGAGGGGCCCTGTATGAAAATTTGTGGGGGGGCCCAAATATAGCTAACTCTCGCATTGAATTAAAATAATTATATATTGATTATAAGTTATTACTTACAATTAATACTGCTAGGAACTAAGCTAGCCAAACAATTCAAAGCAACATCCTGTCCCATAGAAGTACTTAGAATTTTTGTTTACATACGTTCAGGGCCCCTGTAGACTGGGGACCCCGTATCATTGATACGGCTGATACGCCGGTAGCTACGCCCCTGGGATCTATATTCACCTTCAGATGCATTTAGAGCATCTAGTACATGTTACGCACGTTGTTATTATTGTACAAAAAGTTAACTGTTGTTAAAATGCTAAACGTTCTTTATTACAGAAAATCTGTCGCTTTTTCCATTTCATACCTACTTTATAATTGCAGTTTTGTTAGAGCTTAAATTTAAGATTAGAATAAGTCATAAACAGCTGTGACAGTAATGTCAAAGGGACCAACTCGTTATTTATGCTTGTATTAACAGATTATAATATTACGGTTTGTTTTTTAAATGTATGTAACCGTACAAAATTCCTCAAAATGCAAAGTAGTATATATATAAGTCGATGCCACTAAAGCTATGTACATACAATGTTATTTTTCAAAGAGTAGCCAAATTTTAAACTTCAAATATATAAATAATAATATACTTTTATTGCAGTTTTTGAAAATACGAGTAAATAAGGCTTCTAATTTTATTCTATTTAATTTTATTCTAACTATCCCAAATTGAATGTAATTTATGGGCAACAACGTTATTGCCTACTGAACGACCCTTACGAATGTGTGCGTGCGCAGTAAAATCAGTTAAAATAATGCCACGCATTTTGAATTTAAAAGGTAAACAGGACAGAATGTTTGAGATGTTTTTTTAATTAATTTTTCTTTACCATTTGCCTATATTACTTATTCTGAACCTTCTCTGCAAAATTTGCCCGGTTATTGCAAAATAACTCTGTATATTTTGTGTCTGTTCTTTTAGCTTTGTATGTATGTTTGAAATTTAGATATGATATATTCATCGTCTGGATGTCTGTTCATGTTCATCCGCATAAATGAACTTAAATAGTTTTCTCATAGTCTCTAAAACTAAGTCTTTATTAGTATTTATACTATATTATATTACTGTTCCAAGTTTAATAAATTTATTACTATTGTGTTTACTTTATATTATTTTTATAATATAAAGCTGCAGGTTCATATACATAAGTATTTTGAAAATAAATGTATTTTCTTTTTATAAATTTAATACAGTCGAACGTCGAACATAGCACCGTCTACTTGCGTATAAGAATTATTATGTAGAAAATTAAAAATATATGCGACTTTCTAATTGTAATTCAAATAAAAAAACAATTTGAAACACAGATAATTTATTTAAGAAAATCTCTATCAACATTTATACTATGCAACGTTAATAAAATTTAATAAATAAATACAATAAATGTTTTTTTTTTTTACAATTATATTATCAAATCTAGAATAATATTAAAAGTAACTTATTTCTAATTGTGTAAAACTAACACCAACGGCACTGTGAAAAAATAGATTTATTTTTGTTTTTAGAAAAGCGTTTACTCTATAGGTGTGATCTGCGTCTTATTCAAAAAAAGATATTTAAGCCCAGGTCTAAGTATTCAGGTACCTAACAGTAAGTTTTTCCGAAAAATCCATACTAAGGCCTGAATTCCTCCTACGCTGACGTCGTTCACGTACGTCGGTCGCGCGTACTAATGTACATTGTGTTGTAAGTAGCCCCACACTGCGACGCTGACGACATCGGCGCGTAGTTTGCTACGTACGCGTACGCGACCGACCGTACGCAACCGACGTCAGCGTAGAAGGAATTCAGGCCTTAATAGTATGGATTTTTTTATTTTAATATTTTTTAATATACTAGTATTATGATAACAATCGAAAATTTACAATTAGATGAGTTGAATAAAAGCGTTTCATAATGTACTTAAATGTATTTCAAGTAAAATTATGGTTATAATTGGATTCCGATTTGGTTATCCAACTTTTATGGTTATATATTCACAATAAAATAAGATTTAAGGTGTGTAAGGATTACGTTATATTAATTTCTTCGAGAGATAGTCACCAATATCAGAATAAAATATTATTAAAACGCAAGTTTTTTTATTCAAAATAATTTCCTTCACAATGCCGTTTTATAAATAAATACTGGTGGGATGACACAGATAAAAAATACCTTTGATTAATGCTTGACTAGTAAGTGCTTCTTCACAGGTAAAATAATAGCAGCAAAACTAAAAAATAACACTGAAGAAAAATTACAAATTAACTGCCATTACAATTTAGCCATTGCAATCTATAGATCATTACTTGTGGCATCCAACTTTAAGCAAAGTAGGTTTAGTAGTGCTTGGATGCCTTAGAAGGCTAGAATGGAATGCCTTATAAATTAATATAACTTTATTAAATGTGGTTTGCTTTAAATATAAAAGAGAACGATACGAAGATAAATGTAAACCACATTTAAATATAATAGCGAGCGATACGATAATAATCAAAAGTTACTTTTTAATATTGGATTAGAAGTTACAATATAAACTTGTTGCTGATTATTTCTTTAATGAAAAGAGAAGTATTAATTTATGACAATAAACCTTACTTAATAAAAACTTTCGTAAATTAGTTTACTAAATTAAAGTTTTAATTTAGTAAACTAATTTTAATTTAATTTTACTAAAAGTTTCCCAGCCTTAGTCTATTTGCTAAATGTTTTCCAAACATTGATTTAAAAGATAATATATAATGCAATAGTTGTCGCTAAAGAAAATGAGGTAAACATTATTTTCAAAACAATAAATATATACTCATACGGACTAACAGAGAGAGACCGAGCGCTGCGTACATTGACATGACGCTACAGTGACGCTAAAACCATGCTCAAATTCTTGACACAACTTACGGACAAATTTTTCTTCTTTCTTTCTTTAACAGACCGTAAAACAGCACCGTAAAACATTTTGTTGGTTGCAAATGATTTTAGATACTAGTGTGAGTGAGTGCGAGTGCTAACAATTAATTGAGAATGGTTTCGGCTTGATTTTTGCGTCGTTTAAAATGTACGCAGAGCAATTATAGCTGCTCTTTTGCGTTTTTGGTGCGAAATAATAAACACAACTCAAAATAACTCTGAAGTAAAGATATTAAATTAAAATTAGTGTTTATTTTTAATATCCGTTCTTTTAAACGTGACACGTAAGCGATTGGGTGTATTTTATTTTTAATTTTTAATAATCCTTTATATAAATCAGCTATAATATGTTAATTTATTCAAGGCTCTATTGCTTTACTTGCGCTGTATTTTTTGAGTTTAGAATACAACGAGGCTAACATGATACTATTTTAAATTTCTTTCTTTATAAAAGGCTTTCATCTGACGTGTCAACTTGTATTAAACGGAGATTAAGAGTAAGTTATGGTTTTTTGGAATTTTATTTTAAAACAGTCAGTATAATTTCAAAATTAAGATTTACAACAAATCAAAATATCCCTTAAGAGTTACGAGTATCTTTTCTTAAACTATGTGATTTTTTTTAACACCTATTCTAAAAATCAAACATTAAACTCTTAAATTCAAGTGCAACTGTTAATATAGACTCTAGAAAAAAAATTAGTAACACGTAACTATTCCAACTTAACGTAGTTTCGCAAATGTATCTAACCCATTAACAAACAAGTAATTGTTCTTGTGTAATTTATTACAATTAAATTTTGGATCAGTGTTCAATGATGACTTGCTTGATGTTTTCTGTTATGTATACTGCGACTTTTACTCTTTTTTACCATATTAAAATTAGACGTTGGGAATTGTTTTCATATGTTAGTATATTACAGTTATACAAACTCGTTTTTGTCAGTGACAAATCTAATTTAGATTAGATTACTTTCGTGTTACGTCTAAATGAAAGACAATAAATATTATCTTTTAGTAAGACTACTTTTTTAATTAATCCGATCATTATAAGATTTACACTTCTTATGATTATAAGTAAAATCGGAAGTGGCAAATTTTAATTTATTTTTAGTTACCTATATTATATTAAAGTGAAATAAAAATGTTAATAAAAATGTCTCATCTATTTTTTTTGCACGTTACGATGCCGGTTGTAAGTGTGTGGGATCCCAAAACAATAATATGATCACACAAGTAGTTCATAGTGTGCGAACTCGGTTTAATTAATAACTGACTCCCATCAATTATATATTACATTACAACTGTTGTCGTAACGCTAAAGTGGTGCTGATGTGTTGCTTACGTATCCGTTTTGTATTACTCTTTGTCCTTCTTATATCCGTTCTACATTTATTTAAATAGTTAAATAATACATATTTAAACATGATTGTATTTGTTTGACCTTTCAAACATTTTAACTCCATTGATTACAACAAAATAATATTATATTTCTTAAAGTTGTACGTATTTTATTTGATATGGAACGTATTTATTATTTTACTTTTATAATTTAATTAAAGTTACTTTACTTTTTTATGAACAGAAAACATAATATGTCGTCCGTCCTTGACTTAGTTACTTAAAATTATATATAGCTAATTAACTAAAACTAAATCTAGCGCATATTATTTCTACTCGTAGGTAACTCGTAAATTTAAATAAATGAGTGATAAAAATTACTAAATTATGAGTAACTGTACAAACAAAATAAACCTAATTTCGGTTTACATTAAATCAGCACCGCAATGAATCCAGTGTTTTTTTTTAAAATATAATAAAGGTTAAATATACCACGTGCCCAGCGATGTAGCTAGACATCGTGAGGGAGCGTGCTTGTTTGAGAAGTCTACAAAAACCGATGACATCTATATTTCTCCAACACGCAAATCTCTTTAAAATCAATCTCAGATTGAGTGAAGGCATTTGTCTAAAAGTGGGACTTTTATAATATCTCCAATATGTCTCTTCGTATGTATAATTAGGACGCGATTATACTGGAATATTTATATATAGAACGTATACAGCTAGAGTATTATTAATTACTTCAATGTATGTTCAAATTATACAACCACATTCTTTAGATTATGCAATATAGGGTTAATTGTATTCAGAATCTTTGAGACCGACCAATCTTTGAAGTTAACCACTTTGTTCCACAACTTTATTTTAATTAATTCCTTTTTTAAATTTTGTATTTTCATTATACACTTTAACGTACTAACGCACTGACGCGGCGTGCGGTGGTTAGAGTACTTCAAACTTACTAATGATCGATACGTATCTTCTACAGAGTAATACCAAACAGAGAAATAAAAAAAATGTTTTGATTTGATTGGTTTTGACCGAATTTTAAAATGTCGTGAAATGAAAGTCGTTGGATTCAAAGATGGCGTTACGGTTTGAAAGCTGTGCTATGTTACAATTAACCCTATAAAGGTATACGAAATAGTTAAAAATAATACACATCATTCATCATTTCATGAAAATATTATAACAAGTTATAAATTATTACTCAATTTTTTATCAGTTTTCCAAAAATTCGAACAATAATTCCATGTTCCTTATGAAATGCCTTATATTGATTGTATATATTTAAAAGAAAAGTTTAATTTTTAATTCATAAATTAATAATATTTAATAAAGCTTTTTTAATATAAAGACACCCAAAAACACCATCTTCATATCTATTCTATCCAGAAACTGGAGACTTATTGCAAAATATATTCCTTAAAACTACAGTGCGTTTAAATGCTCGAGTTTTATTGTGAATTATTTCTACGGTATTGCCATTTACGCCGTTTCGCGACTCTTGCCTTCTGATTTTATGGATTGCGCCAGCCACAGCGCTAGTACAATGCCGGCAACCTGTAAAAAGAAAAAAAATGTATTTACTTAACATAACCCAGTGTTACTTACCTCTGGAACATTCAAACGGACTGGGTGAGTCACAATTTAAGGTAAGTATTTATTTTCCACTTATTGGTATACAACGGCGAAGGAAAACGATGAGGCATTCCGTCTTCAACCTCAGAGATTACAAAGCATCTGTTGCCTTCTTTGTAAGAAGTTAGTTGTAGATGTCAAGACTGCATCAGTTAGAATATAGGTTCGTTTGTCATTCAAATTATGCTAAAAAAGATGATTATAAATAATATTGTTGATTGAAAGTAATTTATTTTCTTATCACTGGTTTGTTCCTGGAGTTCTGAGAAGACTTACTCGTAATAGAATATTTTTTTTTACAGGAAAGAGGTGATAAACGAGCACACAGTCCACCTGATAGTAAGTGGTTACTGTGGCATAGACTTCTACATCTATCCTCGATTACGAATCAAAATGCAGATGCGTTGTCACCCCTGAGGATTGAGATGGAATGCCTCGTTTCCAGTAAAAAGGGTCTCCGGTTCTCTACACTCACCATACGATATACAGCAGCGTTAAGCTACTATTTTACGCTGGTATTCTGTGAGGGCGTGGTCCTATATGTTAATATAGGTTAATAGTCATCATGAATTGCTGCCTCCACGATACAGGAGAAAATCCTAGTGTGGGGGTAACGTTTTTTAAAGATAAAGATAAAGATAAAGAATTAATACATAATTATAAAAAAATATTAACAGTTTTGTTTATTTTTTTTTTGTTAGATATTTTCTCGGATTTTGTAGTTAAAATATTGCCTTATTACATAACTAGCTGTCCCTGGCGACTTCGCCCGCGTGGAATTTACTACGGTTTCACGGGTTTTAACTTTTGGCGCGGGACTCTAATTATTTTTCAAAAATAAAAGTAGCCTCAGTTACTCTTTGTAACATGAGCTATCTGCCAGTGAAAGTCCCGTCAAAATCGGTCCAGCCGTTTCGGAGATTAGCCGGAACAAACAAACAGACAGACAGACAAAAATTTAAAAAAATGTTTTTTTTGTTATTAGTATTGTATATACTTTCATATGCATTTAGTAAAAAGCTGTTATTTTAACATTACAAACAGACACTTCAACTTTATTTATTTGTATAGATGTATAGATATAGATTACTGATTCTGTGAAATCGAGTAACTGGTGATACGAGCTTGCTACTTAGTTTCAATAGTGGGTTCAAATTGAGTTGACATTCGTGCATAAGCACAAAGAAAATATTATTTTTATACCACCGTCTCTTCGTGTTTCTGATATTCTATAAAAAAAGTAACATCGGATGTTCAGTTGACGATTTCCAGTTCCGGTCACGACCACATCTTCCGGTTATGTATAAAATTCGGGCAGAGGTGGAAGCCGAACAAAAATATATCTGCTTAAAATGAACTGAGCAATTTTATTTATTATGTTGCAATAACCTGCATTTTGTATAGCATTTTTTTGCTTTTAATTGCATAAATAAGGTCTACCGAATCTATCATTTACTTTGTTCAAAAATATAAACCAACCACACGTAGAATTAAAACATAGTTGAAATTCGATTAAAGACAGTGATGAAATTAATAAAATTAATAGTAATGAAATTATACATTTCTACTCTTCTCTTGGACTCCTAGGCTTCTAACATGTGCCAGATGGCATGTATTACTTAAAAGATCTACCCATTCTTACCACATTGGATAGGTGGAATATTGACTGCGGAGCCGAATACCTCTCACTGGAAATACTGCTACTCTTCCATCAAAAATCTGTGAAATTTGTATTCATTGTTTTTGTGTGTATTTTCTTCTTCCTTCTTCTTTTTTTACTAGCCAGTTTTTGGGTTATTTACAATAGGATATTTGCCTCTTCCGTTGGAGAGAGGGTTTATCCTAACCTTCAGGCTTGGGACGCAGGGGACGCGCACGAATGGAATTGCACGAATGCGACTGAAGAGCCAATTAGCGCGTGCGAACTATATGCATGAGCCAATTAGCGCTTGCGAACGATACGCACGAGCCAATCAGCGCGACTTATACGCAATAAGCCAATCAGCGCGACTTATGCGCAATAACGATCACTGCTAGACTTTCGTGCCGCTATTTATAGGTGGATGGACGAAAATATACTAATGCCTGCCGTAAAGCCCGTAAATTCGACAGAGAGCGCAACAGGCGGCGTTCTGTTCCCCATTTTATTGCACCGTGGGCAGTGTTTAACATTATTATAGTATCAGACGGTAGACGGAGACGGTTAGACCGCCATCTATCGGAAGTCATAAGAAATTTTTGGCGTTTTCAATAGTCGCCTCTTACGAAACACACGTGACGAAATGAAGTATACATAGCTAACATGAGTTCGTCATAACTCACCTCTAAGAAGCAGAACAGAATGCCGCAAACAATGACAGACAAGCCAGCGCTGTGCACCGCACTTAGAACCTTGTCCTCGCAGCCCACTTTATAGTACTTCTCCATGGAGAGGCAGTCAGAGCGCTTGATTTCGTCTACTTGGTCCGAGTTGTCCGGGGGGCAGCAGCTGAATGATGGCTTCAAACGAGGTTCAGAAGCACCGTAGTTCTCAGGGCCAGTCACTCCACAGCACTCCAACTGGAAATAAATTATTATAATATTATAAGAAATTATATTTTCTAAATTTTATAGTTGTAAAATCACTATACGTAGAGATTCGTAATAAAATTCTTATAAAAATCCTTCTAAATTTCGTGTAAGCACCTTAAAGAATAACTCATGAGGTTATCTTTAATTTCTAAGGCGTAGAAAGTTTCTTAATAGACAAATACATTAGTATCGGGCAGCGGACTCTTAATGCAGCCTAAAAAAATGCCATCAGAAGAGAGTGTATATCAGTACCTATCGGTAAGGAAGTACTAAGATAATAATTTAAAATTAAAAATTTTGTACAGCCGACTTCAATATAAGCGACTTCAATATATGTTATTTAAAAATAACTCAATAACCATTGGTCTGACCTTGATCAAATTCATGTGGAACCACACGAGAACTATCAGATTTCATTTAAAAAAAGAATCATCGAAATCGGTCCACCCAGTAAAAAGTTATGAGGTAACACACATAAAAAAAAACATACGCGTCGAATTGAGTACCGTCTCCTTTTTGGAAGTCGGCAGAAAAACGAAAAGATTCCATGTTCGTCGTATGTTTTTTATATTTTCGGAAACGACTGAAACCTCAAGGGTAAACCAAAAAAAAAATCCCGTAAGAATGAAAAAATAAGGGAATGAAATTTTTAACGTAACAAATTTTACGATATTCTAGTTATTTTATACAGGTTAAATAATTAAACTTTTAAAAGTAGTTTATACGTGGTAGAGCCATGCTGCAGTTATATCAGTAGCATAGTTGTAGCACGAATGGTTCGGTTCGACCGGGGAAGGACTACGCTCTCACAGAAAACCAGCGTAAAATAGCAGCTTAACGCTGCTCTGTTTCGTATGGTGAGTGTATAGAACCGGAGACCCTTTTTACTGGCAACGAGGCATTCCATCTTAGTCCTCACGGGTGACAACGCATCTGCATCTTGAGTCTTTATTGAGGATAGATATAGATGTCTATGGGTCACAGTAAACACTTACCATCAGGTGGACTATGTGCTCGTTTGTCACCCTATCTTATAAAAAAAAAGTAAACAAACCAAATTAAAAAAAATATTTCCACTTAATAGCTTCTGAAGTCCGATGTCAGAAGCTATCTTTATTGCTTATTTACGGCGTAGGAGAATTCTCTACCCCATATCATTACGTGGTGCGTCGTAAGAGACTTTATTGTCCACATTGTCTTCCTAATAACAGCTGAAAATATTAAAAAGAAACTGCTTTTGCTAACTAACCAACCAAGCATGGCAACTATGTCAAAATCTCCTATAATGGCAATGTGTAAGAGGGCTATGTTCATCAGTGGACATTTGATAGGCTGTAAAGAACGATGAATGAGGCTTGTGTATACATAGTGATAGTTACAATGTAGCCAGACTCGAAAACTAGTAATTTGTTTGAATTCGGATATTAAAATTAGAACCCGCGGCGTAGAACACTAGGCTACGTGGGCGACAACAGATTTGTTTATACGATAACTTGTAAAAAAATTCACTTGTTACAGGCATATTGACTATAGCTTTCATTGAAATTACTAATACTTACTGTTACGAAATACTCACGTTATTCTGAATGCGGTCCCAGAACTCCCTGTATACCGAGTCCTCCTCCCTGGTGGACTTGTTCTTGATGAATGAAGTGCGGAGGTGGGTCTTCATCGTGCCTTCGATTTGAGGACGAAGCGCCGCCGACGCGATGCCCACGGACAGTTCCAGAAGGATGATAACTATGAGGCATCCGGCGTACTGTTCAAAACGTAAATGTTTATCAATGTGTCGCTTGTAAACATAAATACAAAAGTAACAAGTACAAACTTTAAGTAATTATAGCTTTAACAAAAAGTAAAAACCGACTTCAAATTGCTAAAAGGGAAATTATTTATTTGCTACCCTTACTAAATGGATATGGAACCAACCTGGAAGTATTTACCTACCTATACTTTTTACCTATTTAATAAAAAAAGAATCATTAAAATCGATTCTCAATGTGCGAAGATATCATATGAAATTCATGAAACAATAGTCCAATATGAATCTTTATCTCCTATTTTCACCTTTGGAGACTGAATTTTATCTTCAAAATTTAATGAAACCACCCTTGAGGTAAACCCTATTTAATAAAAAAAAAATTAAAATCGGTTCACAATCTGCGAAGATATCGCGAAATATACATACAAAAAAAAACATGCACTCGAATTGAGAACCCCTCTTTTTTGAAATCCTCACTTCATTAACTATCAATATGTGGACGTCCCTTTCACGTTGATTGTGTTGGTAACTTTCTGACTTCGGATGCTACTGAAAATTTCTTAACAGAAGAGCCCAGAATAGTAACTGATATTGGCCCGACCTGGTATTCCGATCAGGGAGCACATTATCAGCAGTCTGTTTTGTAGCTTCTATAAACTTGATTTTTTATTTCTTTCTTATTTACGCCAAATCGAAATAAATTATACAAATTGATTACGAGGAGTCAGGAAGCTATAGCACATCTAATTTTGATGGTCCATGTCTCTAGCAATGGACTTACGTAGCCGGAATAATAAAGTAGTTTAGAGTTAAGTATTGATCTTTGTTGATTCGATTCATCAGTGCAGTTCAACGACCTACTTTTAAACAATACCCCAGTAGCAAATTGAGGTCACTGTTGATGTATCGACAAATGTCACGGAACTAAGCAGGACTTAGCACTAATAGTTTCTAGTAAATTCATAGTACATATTATACGTGACATAAAAATAGCTCTGTGTGCATTGCGTATTATTAACTCCTTCTTGCATTTTTTTTTAGAATAAAGCTATCAAGCGAGCACACAGTAGACCTGATGGTAAGTGGATGCTGTGGCCCATAGACATCTACATCTATCCTGATGCGTAGACTCACCATACGAAACACAGCAGCATTGAGTTATTATTTTACGTTGGTATTCTGTGAGAGCGTGGTCCTTCCCCGGTCGAACCGATCCATTCGTGTTACAACCACAATATAGCTGCAACATGGCTCTACCACGTATAAAATTATCGTTGAATAAGCTTATATATAATGGTTGTAGATTAACGTTGCATATAGTCCTCTTCCTAAAGTTAAAAATGATTTACCATTATTGCCACGTTTGATAGGAAGACTGGCGTAGCAGTATCACAATGGCATTTGCCTTATTACGATATTAATGGGTAATTTCACGAAAAGAGCCTAATCCTTTCTAAAAGGCCGACAACGCACCTGCGATTGACCTCTGGTGTTGCAGTTGTTCATGGGCGGCGGTAGTCACTTACCATCAGGTGAGCTACATGCTCGTTTACCCCTCTCCTATAAAAAAAAATCCACAAATATCCTGTTTGAAGAATTCATTTCTGCCGCCAAATAGCAGTACTTTTTTTATAGGATCGAGTGACAAACGAGCACACAGTCCACCTGATGGTAAGTGGTTGCTGTGGCCCATAGACATCTGCATCTATCCTCGTTTGTGAATCAAAATGCAGATGCGTTGTCACTCGTGAAGACTAAAATGGAATGCAACTTATCCAGTAAAAAAGGTCTCCGGTTCTCTACATTCACCATACGAAACACAGCAGCGTTAAGCTGCTATTTTACGCTGGTATTCTGTGAGAGCGCATTTCTTCCCCGGTCGAGCCGACCCATTCGTGCTACAACTGTACTACTAATATAGCTGCAGCATGGCTCTACCACGTACAAACTGTGTGCTTACGCAGCTGTGTTCCGTTCTGAAGATTATAGTTTATAGAGAGCTAGTACAATTACAGACTATGAGGCGTTCCATCTTCAAAAAGGTGAAAATGCATCTGTAGCCTTCTGTGCTTGAAGTTGGTTGCAGGTGTCCATGTTCATAGGCTGCAATAGTCACTTACCATAAAGTGAACTCTAAGTTCATTTGCTTCTTCAGTTTTATAAAAAAAAATATTCGACACGCACGAGACAAAAATGAGCGATGAATCATTTCTTTTACATCGCCGTTAACCATATTATGTTAATTAATTCAGAGGCAGCTGAACTGAGTAAGTGGCGCAAATATGAGTCTCTGAGAGATGACTACATATTTGTGCCATCTGCTGTAGAGACTATCGGTCTGTGGGGTCCACGTGCGGTGAAGTTCCTAAAGGAACTCCATCCGCGGCTGGTCGTTGCTGCTGGTGATAAGAGGGCTGGTTCTTTTCTCGCTCAAAGGCTAAGTATGGCCATTCAGCGGGGAAACGCAGCCAGCGTTCTTGGCACGATACCATGGGGAGTAGGACTATATGATAATTAAGTTTCTATTTTTAGTTTTTTTTTAATTATTATAGTTTTTAATATTGTATATAATAATTAGTATATTTATAATAAAAATCATTAAATCTACAGGTAAGTTGTAATGTGTGTCATATCATGACGTAATAAACATTGTGTTTAGTACGTATATAGTCAGTCTACAGTAATTAAGGTATGCAGTTATTTGTAATCTTATCAATGTTCCCTATTGAATCCGCTTTTTGTTGCTATTGCTATATAAATATTTAATAAGGCACCATTTCGGTAAAATTTACGACTTTTCAGTTGTACTTTCGCATTTCAATTTTGCTGATTTTTAAATTAGGTCGACCCATCTCTAGTTTTGCCGCCAACATTACGTACAAGTTATGATAACAAAGATATGTATACAATATATATTACTATTACAATTAAAAAAAGTTATTAAAATAACAGGTGGTAAATTTTTATAGAAATCAGTATAGCAACTGTCTTTCGATGCTAAAAACTAATACTAGTATAGTAACACAACAACAAATATTTAATACCGACTAAAACTCTGGCTGTAACGTCAGTAAATTATCGATGATTATGAATAAAAAACAACAATTGAAATAACCGTTAGTAATTTTTAATAGAAATTAGTATCGCGACTGTCTTTCGTTGCTAGTGACCTGGTTTATATATTTAGAGTTACACATGAATTCACAGAGACAGAAATAGACGACGACTATTTTAATGTAGGAGGATATTGAACCACAATACATTTACATAGATTTTAATAAGCAGTGATTTTCTATACAAATAAGCGAATACTTTCCGTGCGATGCAGGAGTAAGAGAATCAGAATCAGAAAAATCTGATGGCTTCCGATAGATGGCGGTACTTTTTGTTTAAGAGATTTATTTTTTATTTATACTACGAATTTGCTCTACTGTGAGATGCTTTACATTCATAATTAATCAATTGTCGAGCCGTTGACTATTTTTTTTTTATTTATAGAATAAGCGTGACAAACGAGCACGCAGTCCACCTGATGGTAAGTGGTTGCTGTGGCCCATAGACATCTACATCTAACTTCGTTAGCGAATCGAAATGCAGATGCATTGTCACCCGTGAGGACTAATATGGAATGCCTCTTTTCCAGTAAAATGGGTCTCCGGTCTCTACACTCACCATACGAAACACAGCAGCAAGATTATTATTTAAAGATTAGATGCTACCAGGATGTCATGAAGTTGAGATAAATACTCACAATGTATAACAGCTTAGGGCTCTCTTTCCAGGCGCCGAAACAGCCGAAAGCAGCCACCACAATGATGAACACACCGATTGCGATCAGCACCGCGTCGGTCTCGTGCCCCGTCGTCTCCATGCCCGCGAAACCCTTCAGCATACCTAAATCCACGCATGCTGTCGTTATGATCACTATGCCGAAGATCTGCGGAAGAGAGTGTTATATTAACATAAACATTTTTACAAAAATATATTATTAATATAACTTACTTCAAAAAATTTAAACATAGGTAATTTATATTAAAAAAAAATACACGTTACAGTATTTTCTTTAAATAAATGTTACTTTTCAGAGATATTGAAGTAATTGATTAAAAACCTCACTTATAATTAAAAAGTACTCTGGGGTCCATTATTGTACAACACTGACGTTTTTTTTTTGAGGAAGTATTTACATATAAACTCGCCGACTTTAGCAATGACGATTTTATTTTAATAACAAAAAACGAGAAGGTAGATAATGGTAATATTAAAATGGAAATTGCATGATTCTGAAGATAGTGAAAAATAATTTAATTCATTTCGTCCTGTCGTTCTTAAGTTATTTTGGTGCGACAAAGTCCGTAAGTTTGTGATTTTCTTCACCACAAGCTAACGGACGGCGACGACAAAAGTTTTTCATTTGATCTTGTGATATTAAACTAAATACATTTTTTTAAACAAAATAAGTTCTTGGAAATTAAGCAAAGGTATTACATAAAAGATAATTTCTAAGTTATATGAGGAAAATGGGCAGAGACCAACGCAAAGTAAATTGTTACTTTAGTTAAATAGACTGGCTTAAGTTTTTCTCGAATTAACTCAGACGTAAAAGATTTTTTTCCTTTTTACAAGTGGTAATACTATTCATATTGCAGTTAAAAAATATATAAAAATATGTGTAATACTGTTTGGCACATGCGTTCTCTCATATTATACGATACTAGTGATACGCCCCGGCTTCACCCCGGTGATTTCTGGATCTCGACAACAGCACCAACTACCGGATCCAAATGTAAATCTAAACCATCTAAGGACCCATTCATACATACACAAAAAATCCATCAAAATCGGTCGAACCGTTTTTCAGTTTCAGCGAGACTAACGAACAGCAATTGATTTTTATAATAAAAAAATTGTATAAAATTGAAGTGATAAACGAGCTAACAGTCCATCACAGTAAGTGGTTACTGATGACAATGAACGTCTACAAACAACTTCAAACAAAAAAAATATGCGTGTCAGATCCGACACTTAACTGGAGTTTACTCCTTAAAAACAATTGTCTTAAAATATATAGGTACTAGGCAAAGGAAGTAAATGAACCAATATATTTATTTATATTGATTTGATAAAATATATTATTACATAAATTATATCACAGAAAACTATATGATTGATATTGTATATGTATACTGAATACTACATATATAGTCAACACGTTTTCCACATACATATTTAGAAAGAGAAAGCGCTTGAGATGCGCAAGTGTTGCGCAGAGGAAAACCATAACGGCTTCAGTTTTTGTTAACGCTTGATTTTACGAGTACTACCCATCTATCTTTCATATCATGCGATATAATAATATATAAAACTATTCTTAAGGAGTAAACTAAATATTTTAAAATTAAAAATTTTGTACAACCGACTTCAATATACATTATTAAGAATAACTCAAAAAATATTGGTGACACTTTGATCAAATTTATATGGGACCACACGTACGCACCAGCTTTCAAATAAAAAAAGAACCATCGAAATTGGATAACCCAGAAAAAAGTTATGAGGTAACACACATAAAAAACATACAGTCGAATTGAGTACTTCCTCCTGTTTGGAGTCGGTAGAAAAAGGCTGCAAATGTACTGTCCAAGACCAGATCAAACCAAGATCGAATGACTCACAGCCTGTAATTGTACTGGTTCTCTGTCAAGTGCTCTTCTTTGTCTGTAGGGACAAAAGCGCATTTTGTCGCTCACAGAACAAAAAAGAAAACTCGGTCATCGTTTTGGGTGTCTCCAGCGATGAATTAGATTAGGTACATCAAATTCTAACTTATTCAGAATTACGTAATAATTAAAATTTATAGACTTTTCCTCAAAAGCCTAAAAGCACTGGTTACCCTTCTCCTTAAATCCGACCTTGAAAAATAATAATTGTGTGAATTAGTTCCATCACGTTGTCAATAAATCTTTTATTTAGTATACCCACGTATATTATGTTACCCAAAACGATATTGCAGCCTCTATGAGATAGTACTTAAGGGTCATTTTGTAATTGGAGACACAAAGCTTCGTAAAAACTTTATTAAAACCCAATCTGTTATTTGAGAATACGCAATCCGTACACATGGTCGAACAAACATTACATCTTTCGCCAGTTATGTTGCTTCACGTGAGTTAAATTCTAATGGTAGGTATACATGTTTTGCTTTAACAATATTTAATCCTTTGTTTTTAAAAGTATTGACAGTTGGTCAACTAGACGACCTTCTAAAGTCTAAACGATTACGTCTTTTGACAATGGTGTCTTCCTGTTAAGAACTAGGTACAAATTTGTAGTATATTCTAGTCGTTAACTTCGCTGTATTCAATATTTATTCTTAACACTTTTTGCCCTAAAGTTTAAACGGCCGGACTGCTTATTTATTTGTTATTTATCCCATTCCTAAAAACAAAAGAATACAAAGGGCGGACTTAATACCTTGAGGCTTCTCTACCAGTCTACCCATGGAGTGGTGAGAATTTGACGTAGGTGTGGCAAAATAGAATAAAATATTTAAAAAACAAAAATAATATTTAACTACCTACATAATATTATATATGTACATATAAAATATAAATACATGCATATACATAGGCTGCACTAAAAGTATCGGGAATGGAATATTTCCACTGTTCCTGTTGTATTAAAATCTTTTTAATTGAAAACTCCTTGGTTTTAAAAATCGAATACCATTTATTTATTTAAAAAAAGATTCTCGGTCTTGTCACAAGGTTTCAAACTTGTTTAGTCGTTGAGAAAATGGAATTGACTCGAGAAAATTCAAGAGCGATGATTAATTATGACTTCCGAAGTGGTTTAACACAAAAACAGTGTGTTGACCGGATGATTTCTGCATTTGGTGATGAAGCCCTATCCAAAACCACAATTTATCGCTGATTTGCTGAATTTCATCGTGGACGTGTCAAGCTCAGTGATGATCCCCGTCAAGGTCGTCCAAAAACTGCAGTCACCCAAGAAAACGTTGATGCTGTGCGTAAGCTGATTGAGGAAGATCGACATGTGACATACCGCAAAATTCAGGCAACTTTAGACATTGGCATGAGTCAAATACAAATAATCTTGCATGAACAATTAGGTGTAAAAAAGTTGTTTTCCCGATGGATACCGCATTCGCTCTGTGAAGAGCAAAAAGCGGCTCGCGTTACTTGGTGCGTCAGAACTCTCGAAAGATTCCACACAGGATCCTCAAATGCTGTATACAACATCGTATCAGGTGACGAATCCTGGATATACGCGCACGAACCCGAAACAAAAAACCAGTCACGAGTTTGGGTGTTCGAAAATGAGTTAAAGCCAACAAATATTGTTCGTTCACGGAGTGTTGCAAAAAAAATGGTGGTCACGTTTGTCTCCAAAACCGGCCATGTTACGACTATGCCTCTTGAGGGACAAAGAACGGTTAATGCAGAATGGTATGCTAGCATTTGTTTGCCACAGGTCGTTTCTGAACTCCGTAAAGAGAACTGCAACCGCCGCATCATCCTCCATCACGACAATGCGAGTTCTCACACCGCACACAGAACAAAAGAGTTTTTAGAGCAAGAAAACATAAAATTATTAGACCATCCGCCGTACAGCCCCGACCTAAGCCCTAATGATTTCTATACTTTCCCTAAAATAAAGAATAAATTGCGTGGACAAAGATTTTCATCACCTGAAGAAGCTGTGGACGCCTACAAAACGGTCATTTTGGAGACCCCAACTTCCGAATGGAATGGTTGCTTCAATGATTGGTTCCATCGTATGGAAAAATGTGTCAAATTTAGCGGAGAATACTTCGAAAAGCAATAAATACATTTTTAAATAGTAATGTTGTGTCACTTCCTTGATTCCCGAAATTTTCAGTGCCCTCGTATATTCACATATATATATGCGTGTATATATATATGTCGATGTATAGACAAGATTTTTAACAGAATTACTGAACGGAATTATAACATTATTGTAATAAAAAGGAGGTAAGTCTGCAAGATCAATCTTAGCCAGCATCCTTGAGCTTTCCACCAGTATAGTTTGGCATTTCAAAGGATTGACCAAAACTCCATAACGAGTAGACTAATCTTTGGTAGCTGATAAGTTGTTAAGTTTTTTGATCCCATTATGGATATTCGTAATTTCAGCTTGCACATAGAGCTGAAGATCATCGGCGTACAAATGGTACGAGCAATCAAGGATGGAGGTGATAAAGCTTATAAAAATTTAAAAGATTATAGGAGAAAAAATGCCGCCTTGCGGCACAAGGAAATGAAAAAAAATTGCCATAATTTTCCACTAGTCAGCTGGTAAACTGGTGGGAGAAATTGGTATGATTATGGATGAAAATATAAAAAGCAGAAAAGCTTAGATGCAGTTACAAGATTTACAAACATATATAGACATTTATACATATGCACTTATCCCATTGCGTACAAAACGTAGGAGCGCACTCAAACTGCAAGCACGCCGCTCATGCCACGCACTCGCACACAAAAAAAACACACACGCACATGCACACACACGCACTGTGCGTGTGCGTACACACGCGAAGACATATTATATAGAAAGGCCAAATTTGCAGAGAATGTTCAGAATAAGTAATTTAGGCAAATGGTGAAGAAAAATTAATTAAAAAAATCTAAAACATTCTGTCCTTTTTATCTATTAAATTCAAAATGCGAATTTAATGCATTATTTTAACTGATTTTACTCTGCGCACACATTAGTAAGGGTCGATCGGTAGGCAAAAACGTTGTTTCCCATAAATCACATTCAAAAAACGCCTTATTTACTCGTATTTTCTAAAACTACATATATCATTATTTATTTATTTGAATTTATGTTTAAAATTTGGCTACTCTTTGAAAAATAGCCCTGTATGTTTAAACAGAATTTATTGGCTTA